ATAGTTGAATATCTTTTTTTTTACTGAGCCAAATACCATTTGCGAATGCGAATACCCAGCCTCAAGAGACCAGTGATCAGTTATCTGACTCCTTCTCCGGTCCCTTGATCTTCTTCTTCTTCTTCCTCCTAACAATAGGCTCCTCGGGCTCCTCATCCACCTTCTTTTTGGCCTTTTTCTTCTTTTTCTTGATTAGGGTTCCTTCTGCTGGTGTACCTTCTAATTGAATGCGCTCTGATGCTCGTTGCATCCGCAACCGTACTTCCTCGACCTGCTGCATAGCCTTGATCATATCTGTATCCCCCTCATCTGCAGATATCTGAGATCCCCCCTTGGAAAGAGCAAGACGGTCAAGGCTGCTAGAATCAACCTGAAGCAGAGAACGCTTCGGGGCGGGTTGTCCATCTGTAACTCCTTTGGGCTTTGAGTTATCAATTTGCGTCTCAAGGGTCTCGTCAGCAGCAACCGCAAGTTTGCTCAGGGGGACCCGACGGGACCGTGGATGGTCAAGGTTAGCAAAATGTGACGGTTCATCTTCTAGCTTTAAGTCAACAATAGGAATGGAATCGATGTCCAGTCCTTCCCCGTTAGAGGTGTTAAGGATTTCATGAAATGGCGTAGATGTGCCAGACGACTCGCCAGAAGGAGCAATGTAAAATGGGTCATCTTTGAAGCGTTCCCTGCGCTCAAGCTTTCTCCTTTCTCCGGCCGACGCATCGCCAGGGAAGTTCTGATATGATGTAAGAGATTGGACATCGACTGGCGTGAATTCAAGCGTCTGCTTGGTGGACGCGGTTTCCGGGACATTATAAAAGTCTTGGATGACATCACGTGTCGAAAGCTCATGAGCCGAGCTGTCTAGATTGCGGAAAAGACCCGGTAGATCAGGGCTAAATGGCTCGTCCAAACAAAGACTGTCCGGTAAAACAACCTTCTTCTGGGCGCTGGCTGCAACAGGGTTGAGCTCGAGCCCCATAAATAGGCCCGGTATAACCGAGGCGAGAAGGAACGGAACTTCTTGCGTTTCAGAGTGCAACGCCTCGGCTGCCAATCGAAGGACTTCCAGAAATTCAATGGCTCGTTCTTGAACGTCCAGATCGGGGTGGGCTGCCAGAGCCTCAAGAAATTCCACGACCCGAGCAAGCAAAAGTGACATTTCACTCTTCCAGATATCACCTGGCTTGCCATTTTGGCTGGCTCGAACGAAAACCTTCGGAATGGCTTGTAGAAAGAGAGAAATGGTTCTCGGATGAAGCGACACATTGGAGATGTCAATCAACGATTGCAAAGTCCGCTTAGGCGACAGCAGATATTCTGCATATTCACCAAGTACCCAGGCAACGGGCCCCAAGACACCGTCGCCGATAGTCGAACCGGTAGGGAAAAAATGAGACCTAGTATCCACAAATATGAGTGACTCGGCGGCTCTTGTCGCCTCCAGGCGCACTCCTTTGACACGCACGGCAACGTTGCGAATCTCTGTTCCAATTCGAAGTGCGGCGTTCATTCGTGAATTGGTCATGGAATCTTGGTCCGCTATTTCTTCGGGTTCTGACGGTGGGATGAGACCAACTAATTGTACCAGCACGGCGACGTACCACTCAAAGTCAACAATTTCAGAGTAGTTGTTCTGTGAACAGAGATCTAAAATCCGGTGGACAACTTCGGTCTGATAATCACTGGGCCACAGGACCAAGGTGTCAGCCCCAGGACCATCAGTTGGGGAACCTTCAGAGAGATCTTCCGTTTCTGCATGGGCCGACTGGATAGCTTCATTTGCAGACATAGAGGCTCGTCGCAGCTGATCTAGTAGGCGATTAACAACCAGTTGTAAAGAGCCACTGTCGACCATTCCAACGGCAAGCTCCAATGCCTGCAATCGAATAGAAACATCTGCGTCATCCAGGCAGTCCATAATGACGTCCTGTTGCATAGAAACTAGAGTTGGATGTGTGGCGACAATGCGGTTCAATGCAAGGAGCGCAACATATTTGACTTCGGGTGGATCAGTGAAGATACATATATAAAGAGGGAAGAAACTCACGATTTGGGTCAGCATCCATGACTATCATACCACGCAATTTCCCAACACAGAGAGTGGCAACTTCGTCTCTTTCTTGGAGGCTATCTTCTCCATCCAATATCCCTCCTTGAACGATACCATTGATGCATTCATAAAGCAAGGACATTGCAGAGGTGGTTTGAATAATATTGGTCAATGGACGCAGAAGTTTGCGAGTCAGTCGTGGCTCCAGCGGGGTAAGGGTTGCAAACTGTCCATGGTCAGAGATTGAAAGGTTTCCAAGTTGATTGCTGGAAGAACTGACTAGTTTGATGATCTTGATTGCCATCCAATTGTTGCCGCTATCCACAAGAAGCTCGAAGAATCGGGGTGCTAAAGGGAGAAAATCATGAGGCCGTCTCCAGCCAAGCTCACAAACAACGTTGATTGCCGCCGTGGTTACACTGCTATCTTCTTGATCGTCCATCAGATGATCTTTGATTTTGGGCCAGGCCAGCTTCAGGGCTTCGGGATAGACCAAGGCAAGCCTGTAGAGGCATACAATTGTTTTTTTGCGTACCACGGGGTTCGAATGTGAAAGGCGGGACAGGACGTCAGGGAGTAGAGACATTGCCAGAGAGGGCGTGATGATGTGTGGCAATGTAATCAGAGGAAGAGACATGTTAGGAATACTGGAGTTGACAATGTCCTATACTTAGTATTAGTTATGCTCAGGTGTACGGATAGGAAGGCAAAGCACACACCTTCTTCAACAGATTCGTTGCTAGCATCAATACTTCTGTATCTGGTCGAAAGCTTTGTACGGCTCCGAGATAGCCGACTCTTTTCTGGAGGTATTTGGCGGACGACATGACTTCCAGAACATGGAAGGATGCCCATGACATATCATATCCAAACATTTCGAGATAGATGAGCTTCAAGAGAGCGGTGGCCTTTTTGTCTAGTCGAAATATCAGTATTTGTTTCCATCTCACCGAAGAGGTCATCGAGAGTACCCATGTCTTGCGTTTTGATTTCAGTCTTGCATTCACGCAAGCAATTCTGAATGTATTCATTTTCGCCCCCTTTATGGCCCCGAAGGCCTTTGATAAGGTCGTAGAGGGATTTCTCGAACCTATAGTTCCCTCGAAATTAGAAATTAGAATACCATCTCATTAGATGCATGAGTACCCACATTGTGTCGTTCGTCACAGACCGCAGGGAACAGTAGAAAGAGTGATAATGGTAATGAGAAGGAATTTGTTTTATTTCTCAAGAAGGCACATGGCTGCAAGGACTACCATATCGGCCTTGGCCTACAAGAATGAAGGGGAGAGAGAAAGAGAGAGAGAGATGTGCAAGCAACAGAGCTCCGCGGGGTGGAGTTGGGGGAACCGTGTGATAAGGATCACGGGACCTCACCTTAGCTCCGAGGCACCTGTCCTCTAGACAAGATATCTCTCAACGATTTCCGAGATATTACTCATCTTTCTACTCATCATGGCAGGTTCCATCTCCGATGTCCGCAACATCAATGGGTCGGATCTGATCTCCGCTCTTCATCTTGCTCAACAAGCACCGACAATCCTTGACCAGGAGTCTCAATCCAAGTCCTCGACCGCGTCTGCAGATACCGCGGAATACTATGCACAGATAGAGCAACTTCTACTGGCTTGTCTCCGAACGGGAGATGATCAGTCTGCGCAGGCCTGCCTCAATCGCCTCAGCTTCCGATTCGGACCCTCAAATGATAGGATCATGGGACTTCGAGGCCTGTTTGAAGAAGCCACCGCCAAGGATCATTCAGCACTAGAAAAATGCTTGCAGGAATACGATCAAATCTTATCACAAAGTCCAGTGAATGTAGTCAGTACGCCGATGTTTTCTGTTTTTCATTTCCAGCTGACCATGTGCCAGCCTATTCTGAAGCGCCGGGTTGCGCTGCTGCGGTCGCTCAACCGGTCATCTGACGCGATCTCGGCTCTTATTCAACTTCTCGATGCCATTCCCACTGATGCTGAAGCCTGGTGTGAACTGGCGGACCTATACCAGTCACAGGGGTTGAGCTCCCAGGCTATCTTTAGCCTTGAGGAGGCCTTACTCATTGCGCCTAACTCGTGGAATGTACGAAACCCAACATGTGCTCTGAGTCATCTCACTAACTGAAACTAGATCCATGCACGCCTGGGTGAGCTCTTATACATCGACGGAGATGCACTACAGAGGTCGGTGCAGCACTTTTCCCGAAGTATTGAGCTTTGCGATGACTACTTGCGGGGATTCTATGGGTTGACATTGGTATGTAATCGAACTATGGAGTCAACAATTCGCCACTAATGGCCCGCAGGCTTCATCCCGGATGCTTGAGAAGTCTGATGGATCTATACCCAACAAGACCCTGGAGCGTCTAAAGGCATTTGGTTTACTCAAGTTGGGCGAGATTGTCAAGTCGCGATCAGTCGATGACCAACATTGGGCATCCAGCCGCAGTGAACTGATTGCAGCCAAAGAACTACTGAATCGATTCTAAGAGAGAGAATACAATAATTTCTAGACTGATCCGAACACCAATACCTAGATATAGATATGATGGGGCTGAGAGAGTAATTGGGCAGTTTGGGCAGAGGAAGGGAAAAACACACCCAAATGACTATATGCCCAACGGGCTGTCACATTCTTCAAAAAGCCCTTCTCTTTCTTTTCTTTCTGCATGATACCCTTGGCCTAAATCGCCTCACTGTTTCTTTTTTTTTTTTTCCCCTTACCTCTTGAGACTCTCTTGACTCCCTATTTACTACTGTCTACAATCTAGCGGGGTGAAGGGAAAATAAAAACAAGTCAATGCGCAAACCCCCCGCGTCCTGATCCTTTTCTCTCCCCACGATCTTGACTGGTTCATCTATCTTGGGATATTCCCTCCTCACTTCGCGCATGCGACAGAGAGAGAGAGGATTTCGATTTCTATATAAGAAGTGATATTCCCCCGCTTCTGGTCTCTATGACGTGTGTTTTGACCCTCCCCCTACTCCCCTCCCTTTTCTGATCCCTTTTACAATAGGCTCAGTATCTCGATTGATCCAGACCCGCACGGCTCGGATCACTCTTTGTCCGACGAGGACTCGTCTGGTGTGCATGTTTCTGTACCTTCGGAGGGAAGCCATGATTTCCAGGACTATGATGAGTGGGCGCATTTGCCTTATCCGCATGAATTGAAACCGTCTGATTCAGCCTCCCGACCAAGAACTTCACGCAGCCGCCCGCTCCACGGTTCACACTCCGCTTCGGGCCGTCGCCCAACATCGCGACGTATGATTCCAGAACGCGACTCGTTCGCCTCTCGAGGCCGAAGACAACGATCCCCCGATTCTCCTGACAGTGTGGAATCGGATGAATTTCCTCCTCACTTTGAACGACCACCACCTGATCGGAGGGCGTGGCCCCCAACAGCGCCACCTCCCCCTGGTTACGCTCACAGCCAGTCCTCTGGTCCATCTTACAATGCCTACCCTCCCGTGCCCGGTCATCAACCTCCTTACGCGCATCCCAACGCCCAAATCACCTCTGATCTGATGAGAATCGGTCATCCCAACCAAGCCACGCAGCCCCCTTATGGGGCTCCTTCACCTTACGGGTACAACCCTCAATTTCAACCCCCCACGGCTCTCCTATGCATCATTTCTTCCCGGATCAATCCCAACAACGGCATATGCCTCGCCAGCCACCTCAGTCGCGAAATGATCTGCACAATCCGCAGGCGCATATGCCACACCCCATGGCGCCCCATGGCGCCCCCAACCCTTATGGGGCACCTCCTTTCCCCTCGCATGAGTTGATGGCCTATGGACAGGCCGGTTATTATCGAGATCCTACCTATTTTGGGGGACCGATGCCAGGCATGATTCCTCCTCACTTTTGGCCAGTCCCCTATCCCCAAGTACCTTCTCCTCCGACACAAGTGGAACCAAAGCCTTCCCCGCCTCCACCCCCACCCCCCGCTCCAGAACCTGCACCGGCACCACCAGCTCCCACGCCAGCTGATACGGCCAAAGATGAAGCAATTGCCCGGTTGGAGCAGTTGATTATAAATGATCGCAAAGAGCGCGAAGATAAAGAAAAGGCCATCCAAGAAGCCAAAGATCGTGCTGCCGCTGAGAAGGCCGCGCAAGATGCGCAGACAGCGCATGACATGAAGATCGCCTCAGAAGCTGCAGCTCTTGCTCGAGCTGATGCGGAGGCAAAGGCGGCAGAGGATGCCGCTAAGGCCAAGGATGAGGCAGAAAAAGCCGCTGCTGCCGCTGCTTCAGAGGCTGCAGCTGCAGCAACGGCCGCGGCAGCAGAAGCTGCCAAACCACCGCCTCCGCCGCCTGCTCCAGAGAAAAAAAGCCTATCAAGTTCAAAGACGCTGTTGGGAGAAAGTTCAGCTTTCCGTTTGAGCTGTGTGCCACGTGGCAGGTATGTCTTTTTCCAGTCAAAATAATTGTCAGTTCGTTAACAGTAGTTTACAGGGAATGGAGGAGCTCATTCGGCAGGCTTTCCTTCATATTGAAGTGATTGGTCCCCATGTGGCTGATGGACACTATGATCTTATCGGTCCCAATGGCGACATTATCCTTCCACAGGTCTGGGAAACGGTTATTGAACCTGACTGGGCCATCACTATGCATATGTGGCCAATTCCCGAAAAGCCAAAAGAAGATCCCCCTCCCCCGGCAGAGGTACCACCGCCCCTGGATAAACCTGCCGAGGCGCCTCCGGAGTCAAAGAAGAAGGCAGAGTCGGGTAAGAGTCTTCCTTCTAGGCTTTTGAGCGGAATGCTGACAGTTTATTCCAGGCAATAAGAAGGCAAAGGCCAAGGGTCCGGCTATGCCTGGAAGTTTTGCAATGTGGATGCTAGGTAGCAACGCCAGGCCGAAGCAGGTCTCAAAGGCGGAAAAAAGCCTGATCCGCCTGCTTCTGCGCCTCCTTCATGATGCCTGTATTTACCTTTACCCTATTTGAGATTTTTGATGATTTGGATCGCATTTTTGTCGATTCTGGTTGTTTCTTGGGTGGTCTAGTGGCGATGCTTAGACAATCAATGTCGAAAATCAAGGATATGCGGGATATAAAGGGATCGTTACTCTTGTCGTATCTGTTCTTATATTTCTATGGTCAATCAATCCAACCCGCTTCTATACATTTAATAATATATAAGAATGAAACATGAGTCGGTATGTAAAGGATACGCCTCGGTATGCATCCTCTAAGCTAAAAGACCATTAATTATATATCTGACCAGAGTCAGTCATATCCGAGGACTGATATATGTACCAGGGTATCGTACGTATCACATATAACTCGTGTATTAGGCGACCCTTGCCTTAATTAGGGCTTTAAGAATAATCCTGCCGGTGGAAACCCGGTGGAAACTGGAGCATTATGTTACAGCCTCTACAGCCGCAACTTACAAATAGGCCATCGAGAGCTAACCAACAAACGCGTTAGCAAAGTCCCGTGCAGACACCACGAATAACCGTGACCATGCCACCTAGTACGGACTATATTGTATAACGGTAAGAATAAATGTAGGCATAGCTACACTTATACACCTAGGGAAATCTATAAGCACAGGACAACCCCTGTCCTACGAAGGACCACTGATTAGCACGCGGCGGCACTGCGAATCGTCCTACGGACCGCACTAATCTAAGACCTCTGATATCCGAAGATAAGCCACGACTCTACCGATACTACTAAACGTATCGTAGGATATCAATAAATTCTCGTAATATTCTTAGCTTCTTTCCTCATAGTAAAAGAGCGCCCCTATAAGCTAATATACTAATAACATTTCTACTACTAGTCCTATTATAATATATATAATATGCTAGGTCCAAGGGAGTTTAAGGAACCTTATGTCAGGACCCATGGGGTCTGACTGACAGAGATTACGTGTGTGGCCGACCGACTATGTAGGTCAGTCGGCACACGTGAGCTGAGCGCGTACTTAATACGGTGTGAGAGCATGACTGCCTGACGGCAGTCATAGTAGCCTTTTTAGTTCACGTTTCACTCTACTGAGCTCTCACAGTAGGGTGCTAACCCCTTAATACTATATTAATTTGCAATAGAATGCTTCCTAATTAGCTTTGAATTTATAGGCCTAAGGATGTCGGTAATCCGCTTTAACAAAAAGGGAGGAACTGGCGCATCTAGAATTCTCGGTTATAAAAACCTTCGTTAAGTCCTTAGGATCTAAGATAGCCACTTCATATATATATTAGTATAGAAATGAAGGTTATAATAGGGGCTGAGATTCTATCATTATAAGTCAGAATATTCTTCCCTTTGCCTATTGGATTTATTATTATAAGGTCTCTCGCTAGGTATGACGTTCTTCCGCCTTAATCCGTTATACCTTAGCACGTCTCTATCTGCATCTTCCGTTTCTCTATCGGCTTAGGTTTTTGCACGATTTCTTCAGGGTAGAAGGGATTTCCCGACCCACGGAAGTAGTTTTTTAATCGGCTCTCCGACCTAATCGCGGGACTAAGCCCAGCGGTTTAAGAATAGCCAATTATATTATTATCAATTGGATATTAAAAATAGGAATAGGCACTTGTAACACCTTATCACGGCCCCTATCTTGTTTATACGATGAGTAAATAGTTATACATGGCTTTAGATAAACTATGAAAATATTTAATTATATTTCAGTTAAAATCAGTATCTATCGTCTTAAATTTCGTATATTTAACTATTAAACTAATATTAAATTCATAACTCTTGAATGAATATTGATAAAAAAGAAATACGGCATTAGAAGGTACAAGAGGCACGGCCGGAAGTAAGCCCGGACTGGAAAATCCTACGACCCGACTTACCATGGCTACTAAGCGAGCGGTCCGATCGAGGATTCGAGAGCATTAGGGGAAGTATTAGGGGAGAGAGGGACCTCTTAGCCTACGAAGCGCTTAGTAGAAATACCGAATAAACGAATTGAAAGTTATACGAATACTTATTAAAGCCGTACACGGTTATTATAATATAACGTAATTCCCGGTCGAGCGGCCACCCTACCACCTATCTATTCATTTAAAATGCATTTTTTTATCGGAAACGCCATTAAATTCAATAAGCTAAAAATGAGTTCTATTGGGACATATAGTCAATTTATGACCCTGAATTCTATATATACTGCACTTCGGCAAGGCCCTGGTACGTGGCTGTAAAGGTGCGGGAGCCGGTCTTACCTCACGGGACACTTGCGCTAAAATTGCCTGCTCTAGCTATATTGCTAATGTAGAGGTCTCTAAAACTAATAGACCTTCTTTAGAAGCTATTTGCCGTGTAGATTTAGTCCTTTTTCGCTTCTTTATCTCATTTTAGCGCATAAATCGCTTACTTCTTTCTCGAAAATAGCTACCGATTGTATTATAATTTAATAGGCTTTTAAAACCTAATTTATTATGTAATTAAGTAGATTCGGAGGGCTTTTAGACCGCTACTTTAGTAAGGCTTTTATCGAAGAAGCTTATTTTTATAATTATATATAATTCGAAGGCGTTTTTAGCTCCTACTCGCTCCCCCGGCTTAAAGGGGGTGTTAGGGTTCGAAGGCAAATATCGAGCCTCGAGATTACTCGATCGGGGTTATAAGGCATTAAACCGGCGGCGGCGAAGCTATTCTTAATAGTCTCCGATTTAATTGCCTTAATTCATACGGATAGGTAGGCCTCGAGGAAATCAATTTTATCGATATAATTAATCCGGAGCCGTATTTTACTTTCGATAAGCCGGCTATATAAGCGCTTTAATACCGTAGAATAGCTAATATCAAGAGGCTATAAAAGATAAGACGAGTACGGAGGTATATAAATTGCGATAATATCGTTTTTTTTCGTAAATTTAATCGAATTACGGGATTAAATAACTCCCGTAGCCGTCGAGTATTAAAAGTCTATACTTCCCCTTCGTACGCGAAGAAGTAAACGGAATAAAGAGCTTTTCGAGCTATTAAATTCTAATTTTATCGGACGTCTATCCGTTCGACTAACCTTAAAGCGCTAATCGTCCGGAAGGCCGTCGAACTAAGACTCGATAAAGACTTTGCCCTTAAGATTACGTACGGAGGAAGCGCCTACCCCGACGCGTTTATACACTTTATTATAGTTACCTACGTACGGTTTCGGGGCTATAAAAGTGATCTCCGACTATAGAATTCCTTTCTCGTAATAACCTTCGCGGTCGTAATTAAGCCTATTACAAAACTAGTCTCGTCGAAGTTATAGATATCGTCGGGATCGATACTATACGAAAGTATCGTTTTTTAGATAAGAGAAAACTATATAGAAATAATTTTAGGGTCTTCGTATTTAGCACGTGTATAATTATAGCGCCTCGAAAGCCTACTCGAGAGGTCGAATGCCTTTTCACGAATTCTATGACCTAATTCTTACCGACCGAAAGAGGAGGGGTAGATCTACGCGCCGCGAGTAGTAAGTCTACTATTTCTTATACGGTAGCTAGTCGAGGTGCTACTCCGCGAGAATTCTATTAAGAGCATCTATTTTCGAAGCGAGTCCTTTTTAATTTTTGTCAATTTATAGCTGTTCGCGCGAGTTTCGATGCGGTTTATAGTACTAGTGAGGCGGCGGCGGAGCGTCGTACGGGGTATATTAAAAAGACGCGCTGCTTCTTAAACTGTAGAGATTTCTTTCTTTTGAATAGTCTAAATAGCTAATAAGACCATACCTTCTTCCTAAATTAAATTTCGAGAGGAATTAGTACGGATTAGTGGCATAGTGGGTGTTTGAAGAAGGAAGGTCTAATTAGTTGACGCGTTTTACGTGAGGGTGGCCGCTCGACCGGGAATTACGTATTACACGAAAAGATCAAAAAATATAAATATATAAAAAAATGGATGATAAATATCTAAGGGTAAAGCGGGACTTAGCAACGTGGCCTAATCTTACTAGATTTTATATAAATCGTGGGGTGGGAATATAGATAGGTGGATAGCGTATTTTACGTATTCGTTAAATTGCCACGGAGGAAGCACGCACGGATCTCTCGCAATCACAGGGGGTCGGTATTATATGTGTCGACACGTTAGCGTTAGTTTACCGTAGCGCTTTCCTCTATATAAAATAGCCTTTTATAGGAGAACCTAGAAGCTCAATAAGATTAGTCTCTATATTCCTCTAATACCACTTATTCCTTAGATATCTTTTCTTTACCTAGTCAATAGGCTCTATCCTATAAATACTAGAACCCCTCTTACTTTATAAATCCAATTATTCTTTAATTATACATAATTACATTAAACTGGGCATAAAAGCGGACCGGCACCTACAAAAAAACCGGGTTCCGCTCAGGAGCCAGAGCTGATCGGGACCCGGTGTTTTTTTGTTTTCGCTTCGCAGATCCCGTTCAACTTTTAGCTAGTCCCGCTTAGCTAGGACCCGGTCTAGAAAATAGTCCTTAGGATAGAACGGACTATATAGATTAATAAGTATCTTACTAAGATCGAGCGATTATATAAATAAGAAGTCGATGCTAGATCCCTAGTAACGTTTGAACTCCAGCGAGCTACTTATAAAATAAGACCTATTTAAGAAATAGACTTTTAGGTTACTACATAACTTAGCTGTAGTATAAGCCAATATCACTATCTTTCATAAAAGGCTTAGTAAGGTATAAATTACATTCTAAATAATATTTTAAAATACTACTAAAAGACTGATATATACTTCGCCTCTAATCGCGTCTCTAAAACACAATATTTTATCTACTAGAAAGGATAGTATTAATATAGTAATATAATATTAAAGTCCTAGTTAAATAAAGTTAGGAATTAAAAACTATATATTATATTTAATTAATAAAAGATATTACTCTCTTAACTAATAAGAATATTAAAAATAGACTACCTTTCAAAACCTATCTTCTAACTCTAGTTAGTATTAAGAATAGAATTGTAGAAGTTTTGAAGGATAAATTAGTAACTAAAATCTAAAT